AAGGAGGGACCAGAAGAATATGAGGAGGAGGAGGGGGAGGAAGAGGAAGAGCAATCACAATAACAAGAGCAGGACCAGGAACAGGAAGAGTTGCACGAGGAGGAGGAGGACGATGACGAGGAGGAGGAGGATGAGGAGGAGGAAGAAACGGGGGAGAACTTGTTCCGGCGACGCATCCGGCTTGGGACGACACGGCCCTCCCAGACTGGGCCTGGTGGCAGCGTTTAGCGTGGCACTTTGCCCTACGTGCGGGGGCCCCCGCAATTGTGCAAGTTCCGCAGAGGTTGCGCGGTGCAGTGGCGCATGCGAGACGCAAGGCGCTGGAGGTGCTTGAAGCAGCGGGACAACGCGGGAATGCCACGGCAGAGTGGAACATGTTCGCGCTGTTCGACTTCATGCTGTTCGCTCGACCCCAGGGGGCGTGCCCGACGTTATGGCGGGGTGGACGGTGGGCCCAGCTGCGGGCTTCGGCCGCGATGGGCCCATCCCCGCGAGCGCCACCGAGGAAGGCAACGGACATGCAAGAGCGCTCCGGGTGCGCACTTTGGCTGCGGCTGGAGAGGAAACCGACGCGTTGGCAGCGGCAGTGCAGGCCGAACTGGCGCCACGCACGGCGGAGACGCTGGAGAAGCTGCGGGCGAGCTTCCCGCCAGAGGAGACGGAGGCGCCGCGGCGTCGCGCCCTGCGCCGCCCTGCGCGCCGCCCTGCGCCGAGCACGGGGAGGAGGCGGGGGGGGAGGAGGTGCTCAAGCTACTGCGGCGCACTCTCCGGCTGGCGGCGCCGGGCCTGCTGGGCACGCGGCTAGAGCAGTTGGGGCGAGCGGCGGCGAGACGGCGCGGCCGTTCGCCCGGGCCGCCGCGAGGGTGGCCTTCGGGGAGCTGCCGCGGGAGGTTCTCCAGGCGCTGCGCGCGGGGGGGCTCGTGGCGCTCGCCTAGGGCGCCGGCGAGGTGAGACCCCTGCTGGCGGGCGCCACGCTCCGCCGCCTGGGGCTGCGCGCGCTGGCGCGGGCGCGGGCGGCCCAACTAACTGAAGCCGCCAGAGGCGCCAGTGCGGCGTCGGGCGCACGGGCGGCGCGAGCGCGCTGGCAAAGCGCTTGTTGGCCCTCGCGGAAGCCCGGGCGAACGCGACACTCATTAAGGCGGCGTTCCAATGCATGCGCCGCGGCCCCGCCGTCGAGGCCCTGGACGAGGCCGCCCTTGAGGCGGCGGCGGCCCTGAGGACTTGTTTCGCGGGCCCTGCAGAGCACTACTGGCGCGCGGCCGACGGGCGCCTCGAAATTGTCTGGGTGGCGCTGGTTCAATCATGGAGGCCTCTTGTCCCCGGCGGCCTTCGCCGCGGGCCAGCGGCGCGCCCTTGAGTGAGCAGCTCTTGCACGGGCTGCAGCAGCTGGCCCTGGCGCCCGCCTGTGCTCCTATCTCGGCGACTCCTGCCTGGTGGTGCGGCCGGGCCTCGGCGCTCTCGCGCTGACGGGCCTCCGCGAGGTTTTCGCGCCGCTCAGGCTGGACCTAAACCAGCGCTGCGGTCTGGTCCCCGGCGGGGGTCCAGGCCGAGCTCGCGAGCGACTTCGCGCACGTGCTGCCAGTCTTCCGCCCGCAGCTCCGGGCTCCTGGAGACGCCGACGAGGCGGCGCCCCCTCTCGGCGGGCAGGGCTGCGGGCTGGACGGGGCCACGGCGCGCCTCGAGAAGCTCTGGGCCAGCATAGGGCGGTTGCTGCAAGGAGGGCCCAAGCGGCAGGTCGCGGCCGCGCTACTCAACGCCTGCGCAGGCCATGACAAGTTTCGAGTAGGGGGTCGACTACAACATTGTTTTGCCACAGAATTTGTTGTTCTGTTCGAATCCACTGGCAATTCGTAGAACTTTCGCAGATCTTCGAAAGGTTGACGTACTTTTGTTGAAGAGTCGACGTGGAAGTCAGTCTTGGAGTACGCCAGTTCTGCAGTCGAAACATGCAGCTAGCCTTGGCCGCGGGGTAGAAGGCTTTCCGCGACGACGACGCCCTGCGGGCCCCCCGGGAGAAGCTGCTGGGGCGTCCGCTCGGGCCAGAGGCGTGCGAGCTGCTGGGCCTGCCGGCAAAGCTCGAAGCGGGCCGGCGCGCAGCGGGCGGCCGCGAGGCGGGCGCCCGCCTGCCGGGCGGCGCGGGCGCAGGCGGCGGATGGGGTGCGGGGCGACCTCGATGTCTCAGGAGTCCCCACTCTTGCAGACATGCTGGCGGCGCCGCCGCAGGCTGCTGCCGCGGTCGAGGCGAGTTGAGCCGGACTGGCGCGCCACGGCGCGGGGCGGGTCCCGAGCCGGCGGCGCCTCTGGAGGCCTGGGTTGCTGGGGCGCCCGACAGGGCAGAATACCTTGGTTGCTAATGATGCATGAGAAAACCCACGCTGCTGCGAAGCGGCGAATGCACCGCTGCAGTCAGGCGTCGCTGCTGTCCGTGGGAGGGCCCGGGGCCGGCGCCCACCTGTAGTGCCTCGCGGAGCCGGCTTGCGCGCTGGAGGGCCCGCGCCGGCAGGCGGCGACCCGCAGGCGCGTCCAGCTGCCGCGGCCGGAGCGTTCCACAGACGAGCTCGCGCGAGCGGCGGCGACGTGCCAGACCCTGACTGCCGGCGGAGTGCCGCGCCGAGCGCCGCTGGATCTGGCGGGGTTCCACGCCGCCGTGTGTCAGCCGAGCGGAGTCCGAGGCGTCGTCAGGCGGCGCGCGGGCGTGGCGCGCCGCGTGCAGCCTCGCTGGCAGGTGGCGCCGCTGCGCGAACAACGGACGCCCACTTGGGACAGGGCCCGCGAGCCGCGGCGGGGCCAGGCGCAGGTCCTGGAGCGGGCTATCTTGGACGTCGAGTATGACGACCTCGACGGCTGGCGGTGGCTGGACGCGAGTGTCCGCCACCCAGCGGCAGGCGACGAACCCGCCGTGCTAAGGCGCGCGGGCGAGGCGGCCCGCTGGGCCGAGCGCGCCAACGCACCCGCCAGCCCGGCGAGCGCCTCGGGACGTTCGCCGTGGAGACGGGCAGCCAGCTCGGCGGCGAGGCGCGGGCCTGGCTGCTGGCGCTGGCCAGAGAGGAGTTCCCGGAGGAGGCGCAGCAATAGTAACTTGCGCCAAGCTACCGGTGCTGAATTGCGCGCGGCAGCGAGGGCTGGCCCAGCTGCTGCGACGCGCGGCTGGGCTGCGCTAAGGACAGCCGGGCGCCGAGCGGCTTCTGCGCGGGGCTGAGCTGCTGCTGGGCGCGGAGGCGCGGCGTTGCCAGGGCGCGGGCCTGGGCGGGGCGCAGGGCCGCGGGCTTGCGCGGCCGGCGCGGGGCCGGCGAGCAGGCGCCGCGCGGGCGCGGCTGTGCGGCGAGCGAGCGGCGGGCTGGCGTTTGGCGGTGGGGCCGCAGGGCTTTGGAGCGGCGCCTGGCGGTGGGGCTGCAGGGCTCTGGAGTGGCGCCTGGCGGTGGGGCCGCAGGGCCCAGGCCGCAGGCCAGGCGGCCGCGCGGGCGTCGCTCCGCACCATCGTCGCTTTCTCCGCGGCGGTCCCGTGCAACCGAACTTGCAGGCCCCGGCGGGCGCGCCCCTCGGCTCCAGGACTTCAGGGCCAGTCGCAGCTGAGCGGTGCGCTGGTTCCTGGGTTGGAGGGTTGCGCCCGCCCCCGATCAAAGTGCCCGGGCGCGCGGACAGACGCGCTCGCCGCTCGGAGGAGCAGGGGGAGGACGGGGGGGAGGACAAGCTAGGTGCGTTCGCGTCATATTTGACATCCCACTCCTCCCTCCCATCCCTTACCATGGCGTAGATCCCTTCACTACTCGCGCCGGCGGATGTCGAGCAGGGCAAGGATCCCGAAAGGGTACGCGATGCATTGTAGAGCAAGGCGTGGCATGGCGTAGAAGAGCACCGCAAAGCGTAGTATCAAGCATTGCATTGCATGCCGTGGCATGGCACGGGAAAAGGACGCCAGCGCTGCAGCGGGAGCACGTGTCGAAACGAACGGAAGCGCGGAAATGAGGCCAGCGACGCAGCGGGAGCGCGATTCGGAACGACCCGAAACACGGACATGAGGCCAGCGTTACATCGGGAGCACGAGTCGGAACGAGGGGGTGGACAACCGTGCAACCTCCCTTACGACCAGTGAGAGCCTGCCACCAGGCCCCGGAGAGAAGACTGCTGATGCTTCTCCCAACCGGGCTTCCAATCACAGAACATCGCCTCGAGAATCGGCCGCCAGAAGATCGGGGGCGACCAGCGCCCCCTGTCCTGCAGAGCGAGCGCCCTAACGTCCGAAGCTCGCCTGGCCGAGTGCGCAATCTGGTCCGAGACGCAAGCAGGGGAATCAAATTGCAAATCCCACTCCCGCCCCAGGTCGTCAACCGCGCGCGTCGGACTCCGAAAACTCCATCCCACGCGCTGCGCCGTGAGCACGAGCGCAGCCACGGGGTCCCTACAGGACACCCATGGGCGTTCCTTCGCCGCTTGCTCAAGGGCGTTTTCGAAAAGACACTGGAGGACGGCCGTTGGGAGCAGGCCATCCCAAAGCACCTCTCCGTACTGCCTTACAGCATCCATAGACGCGATCACCAACGGGTCTCGCTTCCAGCCGCGCTTTGCACAGCTTAGGAAGAGGCCCGTCGACGCTCCGCGAGGAAGCCTGCCTTCGGCCTGCGCCGCTAACACACGAAGCTGGTGCAGACGCGAATCGGCAAGCCCATACACACAAGATCCCCAAAGCGCGACCGCAGACGGGCCGGCGCGATGCAGAGGGGTGCAGGAGCGGAGCGGACGCACGGAGTCACATGGCGCTCGCGTGCCCATGGCCATTTTGGTCTCGAGCTCCACCTCCGTGCTCTCGGTCACCCACGTTTTCTCTTCCCGCTAAGGAACCTCTGCAGCATCTGGGGCGACGAGCTGGTTCGGCGGCGAACCCGCGGCTGCGGCGGCCCCGGCGCTGGATGGGGGGCCCGGACGGCGCTGCGACCGTGCGCTCGCCTTCTGAGCGCGCGCGGCAGACACCTCGCCCCCTTATGGTTTCCTCGATCGCGGGCATGGCCGGCTTCGACACGATCCTGCTGGGGGCGTACGTGGAGCAGCTCGGGGGCACCCTCAGCAGTCTCACGATCGACGATATGCTGTCGACCTCCCTCCTGGAGTTGTTCACGGCCTTGGACGAGACAGTGGTTGACAGTGTGCCCCTACAGGCGCTCCAGAAGTCCAAGCTGCGGCGCTTCCTCAGGAAGATCGCAGAGATCGGCGGCGCGCCCTCGCCGGACTTCGGCACGCTGAGCGGCCCAGCGCAAGCGCCGACGCGGCCGGCGGCCAAGGCGCCGCCTCCCGTGCCAGCGGCACGGAAGCGCAAGCTGGCCGCCCTCATCGACCAGGCGGATGATGGAGACGTTGAGCTCCTCCCGGCGCCGCGCATTGCGGCTTTGTGGGCCGACTTCGAGAGGGCCCACGGCGGGGGGCCCCGCGAGCGCGAAGACGCGACGGGGGACCAGCTCTCGGCGCTGGCCGCCAAGCTCGCGGAAGACATGGCCCCCTTACGTCGACGTGGCCGTGCGGGGGCCATTCGGCCGGCGTCAACAGCGGCTGCTACGTTTCACCGCCCAGGTGTTCGTCGGGGGGGAGCTGGTCACTCGGCAGCTCCGGGGGCCTTCCTCTTTCGACACCTGGCGGGCGTGCTGGCGAGTCTTCAGGACGGCGATGCTCGTGCTGAAGGCCTCTCTGCCCGGGCCCTTGGACGAATGCGATCGCCCGCCTGCTCCACTGCGCCTTCCCCGAGCAGTGGGGCATCATCTCGCGGGCCGACGGCGAGATGCGAGCGGAGCGCTGGGGGCGCATCCGGCGCCAGACAGAGGCCCGCGTCGCCAACGGATGCTACGCGGGCTCTTTCGACAAGGACCGGCCTTGGGAATCCGTCATCCGGGATTCGGCCAAGTCAGAGAGTAGCCCCCACGCCAACTGGTGGTGCGAGCGCGTGGACAAGCTGTGCCTCCTCGCCTCCCGCCGGGGCGCCGTGCCGCAGGCGCTGCAGGCGGCCGGCGGCGGCGGCGGCGGCGGGGCGGCGGCGGCGGCGGTGGCCCGCCGCCATCGGCGCCTCCAGCGGCGGCCGCCGGCCGGAAGAAAGGCGGCAATGACGACAAGAAGAAGAGGGGCCTGGCTGGGATCGAGCGTCGCAAGGACGGGCGCCACCTCCGCGCCGCCGACGGCTCCCAGCTCTGCTTCAGCTGGAACCGTTCGGAGAAAGGCTGCACGGACAGTCGCTGCCCCCAGGGCCGCGCCCACAGCTGCGAGTGGTGCCTGGGCTCGCATCGGGCCATCGACCCGGAGTGCCCGGCGAAGCCGCGCGGCTGGGTGCCGCCGCCGCCCGGGCGTCCGCGAGCTGCCCAGCGAGGCCCTCCGGCGCCCCGCGCCAGTAGGGAGGGCGCGGCCCCGCCTCTGAAGGTCGCCAGGACGGCGCAGGAGGCATCGGGGGCCGCAGAGGGCGCGACGCCCAGCTCGCGGGCAGCTCCGGCAGGTGCCGCCGCGGCGATTGCGGCGCCGCACCCAGGGGCGCGCCCGTCGGCAGAGCAGGCGCTGGCTACGGCAACGCTTCTGGGCTTGGCGGCCGCGTCGGCGGCCCGCCGGGCCGCCGCAGCCGCGGCGGCGCCAGTGCTCGCGCAAGAGGCGCCCGAGACCGCTCCAGGCGAGACGCCCGTCTCGCGCCGGGCGCGGCTGAGTCGACAGCGCCAGAGCCTGCAGGACGTTCTGGGCAGGCTCCAGCGGCTCGGGGCCTCGCTAGCGGAGGCGCAGCGGCGGCGAGCTGCCGCTTCCGCCGCGGGTCCGCGCCAGCCCGCCCCTACACAGGCGGCCGCTAGTGCGGCGCAGTTGCCACCAGCAAGGAGGGGCCGCCCGACAGACTGGAGGGGGGCCTCGCGCCAGACCCCCAGGAGGAGCCCCGCTTCGTGGCACTGTCCGAGTTCGGGGACCCGGCGCCGGTGCGCCGCCACGCCTCTCGCGGCGTTGACCCCGTGGACACGCGGGAACAGCGGGGTCAGGAAGACGCGGCGCGCAGGGCCGGCCTGAGGAACGCGGCCGCGGCGGTCGCCTCGGAGCCGGCGCTCCTGCGCGTCATGGGCCAGGTCAGGCTCGCCATTCGGGGGGCCCAGTCCGAGGACGCCAGCCTGACTGGGCTCGCCGGCTGCTGCGGGGAGACACCCGCGCGCGCGCCGCCGTCTCAAGCGGCCGCGGCAGCACTGCGGGCGAAGGTGGCCCGCGCACTCGGTGTCGAGCCCGGCGGCGAGCTCCGCCACCACCCAGCCTCGAACATGCGGTTCCGCTCGGCGCAGCAGGTCATATCGCTCGCCGAAGGGCCCGATCGGGAGGTCGGGAGGTGGCTGGAAGAGGGCGCCCCCATGGGCATCTCCCGCGCAGTGGTGCCAGGCGGATTGTTCCCGCTGGCCGAGTCCTGCAGCACCTTGGAGCCCGGCGACCTGGGCACGGGCGACTACGCGTTCTTGGCCAACCACCCGTCCTTCGCCGACAAGCACGATGAGGCGGAGGCGCCGTCCTTGGACCTGATTCGCGGCTGCCTGAAGTCGGGTTACGGTGAGACCTTCGACACGGTGGCGGCAGCCGAGGCCAAGTTCGGGCGCGTCTTCCCCGCGCCGCTCGGCAACGTCCGGCGCCAGAAGCGGGACGGGACATTCAAGAACAGGATCATACAGGACCTCAAGGCCAATGGGGTGAACCGGGCGTCCACGACACGCGAGCGCGTCGTGCTGCCGAGGGGGTCGATCACGCGGTCGACCTCGCCTCATTAGGGCAGCGCGTAGGGGCGCCCACTCGGGTTCATCGGGTCGGCGTCCTCGTGCTCGACTTCCTCGACGCCTTCATATGAGCATCCCGTTGCACGAGGACGAAGGGCGTTTCAACGTCGCGATCCTCGAGGAGCCTCCAATGGCAGGACACGGCCGCGTCATCGTCTGGCGGGTCCTGGGCTTCGGGGGAAAGGCCAACCCCCTGGTGCACGGCAGGGTCGGGTCATTGCTGGCCCGTTCCGCTCAGGCCATGCTGTCGGCTTCCGAAGGCCGGTTGCAGCTCTACGTCGACGACCCGGCGAGCACCCTCGCGGGCTCCGACGAGGGCATCCACTGCAACTTGGACACGGTCCTCGGGTGGTGGCTCGCCCTCGGCCTGGGGCTGGCATGGCGGAAAGGGGTTTTCACCTTGGGCGCCCATGTCTGGGTCGGTATCCAATTCGAGTTGCGCGGCGCCGTAGCTTACATGGCCCTGATGACCCTGCCGCCGGAGTTTTTGAAGGCGACGGCCGAAATCATGGATACGTTCTGCGGGGGTCCGGCACGGCCCCCCTCGGCTTGGCGCGCACGGCCACGGGGAAGGTGTCGCGCATTGCCCAGGTCGTGCAGGAGGCATACCCCTTCGCAGCATCCTTCTGGGCGGCCTTGGTGGCTGCAGAGCAGGCGGCGGCGTCGGCGCGGCCGGAGGCGCCGCCCGGGCGCGTCGCGATTCGCCGCTTCGCCGCTGCCGCGGCGGCGTGGGTGCGGGCGCTCATCAGAGGCGCCGTTCTGCCCCTCGCCCGCGAGGTGCACCACCGGCCGGACCTGCGCCGCCTCCCGGCCGCGCTGGTCCACGTGGAGTTCGATGCCCCCCCGTGGGTGGGAGGCGCCATCCTCTTCGAGAAGGGCGCCCCGCGCGAATACCTCGCGTTCACGTGGTCGGACAAGCTCCTCCAGCGGTTCAGCGCCGAGATCGGCAATTCCAAGTGGCAGACCTTGTGGGAGTACGTCACCCTGCTGGTCACCCTGTTGGCGCGGGGCGCGCCGTTCGCAGTCGGGCAGGTCCTCACGATCAAGGGGGGCAACCTCGCGGCGCTCGCGGGCGCAGTCTATTACCGAGGACGTCGAGACCTGAATGCCGTGACCAGGGAGCTGTCATGGAGGAAGGCTGCCGTCCGGTGGACATGCACGGTCTCGCATCTACCGCCGGAGGCCAACGAGCTAGCGGGCGCTCTCTCCAGGTTGGCGGCAACGCCCCCAATCCCTTTTCCACCGGCGTTGCGGGATACGCGGGCCGCTCGCGCGCCCGAGCTCGACTTGATCTGGCAGGCCTGGTTGGGGGATCCGCTCCCGACAACTTGTCGTTGAACGAGCTCGTGTGCGCGGCGCCGGCTTTCCTGTCCGACGCTGAGGGCGCCCCCGGGCCAGCGGGCGCCGTGATTTTGATATAAACCGAGGGGTGCGTTTTCTGACATCCGAGGATGGGCTGGCATCCCCCAGCAACGCTACTGACAGAAGGGGGGCGTGGCAAAAAGGGGGAGGGGTCTTGAGCCACTGCTGACTACTCATGCCGATGCTTTGCCGACGCCCCCCTGCCCCACGCTTTCGGGGCCGCCCGGGAACCCTTTGGGACCCCCAAAACGCACCAGGAGAGGGCGCCACTGCCCCCCCCCCCCCTCCTCCATTCCAGGGAGGAAAGGCCAGGATGGAGGGGGAGAGAGGGAAGATCGGCGTATCTCGCCAGGCGCGTCCCCGGCTTGTCTAGCCATCGGGGGACATCGGCGCCTCTCGCCCGCCGCCGGCCCCCCGGCTTGGCTGGCCCAGCTCCGTTATCGCGCGCCTCCGCGGCTCAATGCCATAGGGGGAGATCGGCGCAGCCCGTCAGTATCATAGCGTGTCTGCCGGCTCGAATTTCCGGCCGTCTGGGCGCGGCGGAGCGCGGGTTTCCCGCGGGGCGCATCCGCCGGCCACGTTATGACTTGGCTCCGCTCGCCGCCGCCCGTTCTCGACGGGATCGCGGTGTGTTGATGGCGGCCGCTCCCGTAGGGGCCCGAGCGCGATCGGAGGGGATCTCCCTTCCGCGCTTCCTCGCCCGGGCCTGGGGGCGAGGGAAAGGGTGCGCCCCGCGCCAGGAGTGGCCGCGCCCCGCGGGGCTTCGGGGGGCAGGGGGCGACCTCCCCTGCCACCCGCCTCGGCGCGCCTCGGGCCCGGCGCATTCGGGGGCGGGGGCAATGCTGAAGGCCCCAGCTCAGGCGACGTTGAGACCTCGGCCCACTTCGCGGGCGGTGGCCTCTGTCGCAGATATAAGTTGAGTTGCGATGTGATTGTATGTTGTATATATCGTACATACGAGTCGGTCGCATGCTACTATAATATTTGTTATGTGTGTATAAGTGTGGCATTGGTTTTACAGGTTTGCTAAACTTATACACGGTTGCAATGCAAGTGTTTATCACCGACTTACAACTCTTAAACACAAAATTATCAATTTTACGTGTTCAATTAGAGTCCCACTTGTCCGCGGCCACATTTGGCCCAACGTGTGTTCACTGCCCCCCGCGCGGAGGCGCCCAAGGTGCGCGCGCGGAGGCAGCCGTTGCCCGACTAACCGTTCGTCTGACCGACGTGCCGCCTGACCTTTATTTCTGCCCCCAATAAAGCGGCCGTTTCGCTTGAGACATCCTCTAACGGAGTCGGTTTGAGACGCCTGACGTTAAATTTGAAATTCTCGCTCGAGACATCCTCGCAAAGAAATATGATATCAAAGGATGTTGCGAAATCGTCGAAACCTTGAAAATTAGGATCCCGCTCGGGACATCCTCAGAATAGCGGGGTGCGGGACGAGCTGATTCAACGCGTCTTCTGTTCAAAACGGTGCTCTCGCTCGAGGCATACCCCCCCGTTTTCTCGTCCTGCCCGTCCTCACGCCTCGCCTATGTGGCATTGCGGATCATGGACGCTCAGAGTAGGAAGCGCTCGAAACTCGACCTTGTTGCCCAATCTTTATCAATGAGTATGGCGCCAGCAGATCGTGTGCTCGCAGATTTGTTAGGCACAGAGTCGAATTCGAAACTCAAGGGCGCCCCGTCGAACGAACTTGATGTGGACACTCCCAGCGGTAGATTGATTCGGTCTATGGAATTCGTTCTCGACGATGGCACTGTTTATAATTTCTTGTACGTTCATCCTGTTGCATGGTTGCAGGAGCTCTGTCGGCGGTGGCCGAAGTTTGCCGATTTGTTGTTCTCGAGCATAGGTGGTTCTGAGATTCGCGTTGGGCTCCACACGGATAGACTTACGACGGGGAACCCCTTGATGCCAGATCCATCTCGAGAGCTGCAGTGCATATGTTTAGGAAACCTGCGGCGATACCGACCCCGTCGGATCCCGCTCGAGACGTCCTCAGAAAAGCGGGATGTCGGACGAACTGGTTCAACGCGTCTTCTGTTCAAAACGGTGCTCTCGCTCGAGGCATAATAAAACAATGGACACGTCCGCGGAGCTTGCCTCCTCTTCATCCTCCTCCTCGTCCTCCTTCTCCTGCTCCTCCTCCTCCTCCTTCGCCTCCTCCTGCCCCTCCCACGCGTGATGTTGTGTGCTGCGTGGCATGGCGCGCTGTGTCGGTGGATTGGACTGTGGCACAACTTCCGTCGTGGTTCAAAAGTCGTTCGTGTGGCTGGTTCACAGTTGGGTGCATCCCTTGTTCAGTGGAAGGCAAGATAAAAGGAGGTTTGTCCGAAATTGTTGGCAAAGTGTTGCATATGTTTTTCAGCATGGGCGCCTCGTAGTTTAAAAGTGGTTTCCGATGTTTGGATAGTAGCAGATCGTCGCGCATTCTGACTGGCGCGTTGGGGTATATCATCCAAGACGAGAAAGCTTTCAGGTTTACATTTGCTGTGAAGGGGGCGGGGGGCTACAAGCCCTGTTATTTCTGCAGGAACGTCGTCAAGTGCCACGTGTCTAAGTTAGCAGGGAACATGCATGCGAAGCACTTGCGCGATGCTCTTCCCAGCACTGCAAGCTTCTACGACCTTGCAGACCACGTCGAACGCCAGAGCCATGTACTTCTTGCCCCTGGTGCCTTCCAGCAGGAGGAGACGGCAGCGGGCCTCGCGCATGATCCGCATGCGTTGATATGGGACAGGACTTTGCGCGACATTGTTTCCCCGATCGATCGCACGTTTTGGGATTTTATGCATGTGTTGTTTGCGTCGAGCGGAATGGCCCAATATGAAGTGAATAAGTTCTGCGCGAATCTCACCGAGGCCACCGCGTTCACATTGGATCTCTTGGACAGATTCAGCGGCAGCTTCTCGCCGCCGAAGCCCCTCAGAGGTTTGCCGCGCAAGTTCTTTCAGGATCGGACGCGGGCCAGAGGCTCTCATATAAAAGCTTATGCGGGGGAGACTGTAACAGCCGTGGCGGCATTGGCGTGGTTTGCGAAGATGGTCGTCGTTCCGCAGGGTTTACTCGTTGAGGAGTGCCGCAGCATGTTGTTGTTGGGCAAGATAACAGACATGCTTGTATGGAAGGAGTACTGCGTTGAGAATGTTGGCATTCTGTCCCAGTTAACGCGCGAACATTTCATTGTGCACAGGGCCGTGCACGGCCGCCTCGCGTGCAAACAGAACGCCCGTTACATGTTTCACGTTCCAGTTTGCATTGCTGCGCACTCGGAAGTTGCATCGTGCTTTAGCATGGAGAGAAAACATAAATACGCCAAGGCTGCGTCTCGCCACTCGGCAGGGGGCGGGTGGGAATGCGCTGTGTTGAGGCGGCAGACGCTCCATGCGCTGGCGCGCGTGGAACGTTGCTTCGTGCCCGAGCTTCTCGGCGCCGGCAAGCCATCGCCACACATGGGCAAGTTTATCGAACACGTTTTTCCCAACCAAGGTTGGCCAAGTTCGCGCCTCCAAGCACATCGCCACGGCCAGAGGGGTGATTAAGAGCGGCTCGTTTGTTTTGTCGTCTGCCGATCGGGCCCGATACCACGTGGGCGTCGCGTTGTTTTTCTGCGGCGACAACCCACTTGCTACGCCAGATTGGAAGCACCTGATGTTTTGCCGCATGTGGAAGCGGCGCGCCGCCAACGAATGGTTGGCGACGACAACTGTTATGCATTGTTCAACGGCCATGTTTGCCATGTCGTCGCCGTCCTTTTCGAGTGCCCCTGACAGCGCGCAGCCTGTCGTGCCAGACCTCCCAGGCGTTGACGTGCTATAATTTCGCGCGCATGAGGAAATCACCATCATCATCGATATCGTCATCGTCCATCGCACTTCCTCCTCCCAACCTTGGGCCCCTCCCTCGGCATCCACCTCGTGCCCCGCCGACTCCTCAGCACCCCCCTCTGCCTCCTTCGCAGCCCCATCCCCTTCCGCAGCCGTGCGTTCCTCGCCCGTTTTGTTTCAGTCGAACAGAAGTGCACCCAGTGGTATCCAGTTGGAAAAAATCTGAACAGCCGTCGCTCAATCTGGAGCGGCGAGCCTGCACGGTCGGACCTATGATGATAATTGCGAGGAGGAGGAGGAGGAGGAGGAGGAGGAGAAGGAGGATGAGGAAGAGGAGGCGAGGAGGAGGAGGAGGAGGATGGAGGAGGATGGAGGAGGAGGAGGAGGAGGAGGAGAAGGATCACGAGGAGGAGGAGGAGGAGGATGGGGGAGTAAGAGAAGGAGAGGAACAGAGGGGGGTGGCAAGGCAACCTCAGGATCAGCTTGGGGACCCACCCACCCACCCCCCCGCCCACCCACAACCCACCCACCACCCACCACCAACAACCCACCCACAACCCACCCACCACCCACCCAC